TAGCCGAAATAGCAATCCTCAGCAACTTTTTAAAGAATCAGCCGAGCAAGCCTCAACAAGTTTTTAATTTTTACACCCAGGAGTCTAAGTTGTGTTTCAGGAAATCAGACCCCCAGCATTCGGTGGTTGTAAAATGAGCTGTACAAGGGTTCATACACCTCAAGTGGGCAGCATTGTACATATATGTACATGAATTGTAGCCAGCTAGAAAGCATCCAATTGAACTTGCGCATTAGAATAGGCTTCTGCTAATATTTCAATGCAATAAGCGCTTTTGAAGTTTCAGACCTAAATATTTTCCTAAGCGCATTACAAATTGCGGAGCTAATTTTTTAATTACCGCTGCCCACCACTGATATAACTGACTTAATTATGTCCATTTTTGTGTTCTCCAAAGTGAGATGTCTTTGGCGGCATTCTTGATTTGAGTTAGTTTCAAAGGTTGATCAGTTGTAGATGAACGTCCAATGATTATTTTCTGAGTTTTGTTGAAATCTGAACCGTTGTTGGCACAACATTTTGCTAACAGACACACGTAGCCACCAGTAAAAGCATCATCGCCCACCTCTGTAGGGACAGGTCATAATAAAAAGTAAAAATGTCTGACACTGTGAACAGAGACACTTACAGCTGGTCTGTCTCTGCCAGGGTCAACGGGACTCCGTCGCCCCTCGCCCTCAGCCCGTCCCCTGCAGGAGGAGGAGCATCGGGGTCATCAAGTAATGTGGCGATCCCTCAGAGGATTCACCACATGGCTGCCAGTCACGTTAACATCACCAACAACATCCTGCGGAGCTATGAGCACTGGGAGACGGCTGACAGGCTGGCTGCAGACAGCAGAGGTAACACACACACACACACACACACACACACACACACACACACACACACACACACACACACACAAACACTAATTGTAGATAAAAAGGACAGAGAACTCTTTATGATCACATCTTTCTCACATCTGAAAACATTGAAATGAGATGAGTTGTCGTTACTGTCAGACGTACTGCTGTGCGTGTGTGTGTATTTGCGTGTGTGACTCCTCCTCCTGGACCAATGTGTTTAACAGGTTTCCATAAGTAAGCACACAAAATTAGATCATGTATGTGTGATTTATAGCCAACCTTGTGCAAAGTGGGCGGGGCTAAAATAATCTTATCAAACTAACACAATGTGCAGTGGTGGGCACCAGCCTGCTAAAGCGCAAACCTAACTGCAGACCTAAATATTTTTATGTGCACTTTAGCGGTCTTACTAATTTTTATAATTCATAAGTGGATTCACGCTTTCTAAAATTAAAATGCAGTACGGCTAATAAATAATTATCTACCAGTCATCATTATCTTGAACAGCAGAAGGTATGACTGTCAATGAATCACAACATATGATCTATCCAACAGCACCCCTCCCAGATAAACACACTTATTGTGAAAGTATATACAGTACATCCTTGCTGACTGTTGCTTTCGGTCGTGGTTCTGATTTCCCACAATGCTTTGTGTCTCCTTACGTAGCAGGAAGGCAATATTTAGAACTCCCTGTCCCAGCAAAAACAGTAAACATTTGTAATCCATACTAAAATTTTGTATGTATTGATTTATTTTACTTTACAATTGAAGCTCCTTTTTTAAAAAAAAGTTTTAAACGCTGGAGCTCAAAAGCAATCGGATAACGGTGTTAGAGGCTCAGAAATTATTTAAAGATGTTACGCTGGTGAAGACTGACATCTAGTGGTCAACTGGAGCAACTACATGAAAAATGTCCTGATCCAGGTAGAAAAACATAAAAAAGAAAAAATAAGTAGGTCCTCTGGATGGGTTCTTCTTTAGTGAAACGTTTCGTCTCTCCTCCAAGAGACTTCTTCAGTCTGAYGAGTTTCAGGTGAACTGGAAAACTTTAAAATCCAAGCTCTTATTTTGAAAGGAAGATACTAGTTTCCTGTTCCCCGAGCTTTTGTTTTCCGTCACAAATCAAATCTGTCATGTACCCAGAATGCATCACTTCAGTTTTCCAATAAACAGTTTTAAAATTACTTCATTGATGATTTAATGAAAAATCTACAACAAACCAAAGAAAAAGACAAAGAAGCAGCCGAACTAGCAATCCTCAACAACTTTTKAATTTTTACACCAGGAGCTAAAGGTCTGTTTCAGGAAATCACATCCCCAGCAATCAGTGGTTGTAAATTAAGCTGTTAAAGAGTTCACACACTGCTAGTTGGCAGTGTTGTATATACGTATATTGTACATGAATTGTTGCCAACTAGTAAGTATCAAATTGAACTTGTGCCTTAAAATTAGCTTATGCTAATTTTTCTGTGGCATAAGCAGTTTTGAAATTGCAGACCTAAATATTTTTATGAGTGCATTAGAAATTGAGGAGCTAATTTTTGGATTAGTGCTGCCCACCACTGCCTCAGACCTTAAAGAATCATTTCCTTCTTCACCAGTGATTGTTTGTTAATAAAATAAATCCCCAGTTGTGTTTTTGTTTGACCCCAGCAGCAGCGGCAGCAGCAGTAACCTCTGGTCTCTGTCCTCCCAGCAGACTTCTTCCAGGACCTGGACTCGGTGACGGGTCCTCTGGGTCAGCAGAGCAGCATGTGTGAGCTGGTCCGCTACATCAGACAGGGACTGCACTGGCTCCGCTCCGAGGCCCAGCTCCTGTAGAGACCTCAGTCCAGATACAGGGTCCAAGAACCAGAGCTGGGACCATGTGAGACGAGACTCCAACACCGGGCCAGCTGGGCTGAAGCTCACCTGCCAGCAGAATCCACACGTTCAATGTTTGCAAAAAAACTTTTAAAAAAAACTGAATAGAACCTCCCCGTGGATCTGAACCAAACATGCAGCGGAGGAGAGTGGCAGGTAAAAAGTGGTTTCACTCAGACGGGACGGTTTTCTGAAAGATACGTGAGGCTCAAAGAGCTCAACAGAGGCTCATCAACACCAGCGCAGGAGCAGAACCGAGGCAGCGATCGGGACTAGAGCCAAAGCCTCGGGCTCAGAGTGATCCAGTCCATCAGATAAGGACCACACCAGTGACCCCGCCCCCTACAGGAAGCATCAACACAGGCTGATGTACTCCTCCTCAGTCCTCTTTAGTCCTCAGAGCCAAAACCTGCCAATGGAGTGTACACACACAGACACACACACACACACATGTTTGCACAACTATCCATTTGGGGACATCCCATTGACTTCCATTACATTTCTACAGCCTAACCCTGACCACAAACCTCACAGGTACCTACCTGACCCTTAAACTGACCTAAACTCAATTCACACTTTGGTCCTAAACCAAACCCCCAACCCACCAACGGCATTTAAACCAAATGGGGACTCGACTTTTGTCCC